GGATGGAGGGACGGAGGGACGGATGGAGGGACAGAGGGACGGATGGAGAGACAGAGGGACGGATGGAGGGACGGATGGACGGATGGACGAACGGAGGGATGGGCAAATGGACGGACGGAGGGATGGATGAATGGACGAACGGAGGGATGGATGGAGGGACGGATGGACGGATGGAGGGATAGAGGGACGGATGGAGAGACAGGGGGATGGATGGAGGGACGGATGGACGGACGGATGGATGGACGAACGGACGGACGGAGGGATGGACGGATGGATGGATGGATGGAGGGAGGGACGGACGGATGGACGGATGGATGGAGGGAGGGACGGATGGATGGATGGACGGACGGATGGATGGACGGACGGAGGGACGGAGGGACGGAGGGATGGACGGAGGGACGGAAGGAGGGACGAACGCACAGACATAGGGATGGATGGAGGGACGGAGGGACGAATGGATGGATGGATGGACGGACGGACGGACGGATATTTTTTTTTTTTGTTTTGGCCCGGCCGGGCAAGTGACCCCGGGGGCGAGGTCCCATTAGCAGTCGGATAGGAGTGTGGCCGATCCAGTGTGACACTGAGTGGCAGCGGCCAGACAGGTTCATTACGAATTTCTGCGCTGAGAAAACAGGAGAAAGGCAAAAAAAAGAAAAAGAAATAGAGACCTCCCACCCGAAATCACGGCAGAGTGCTTCCCAGCCATCAGATCACAAATGATCTGATGGTGGTGGTTGCAACAACAGTGAACAAAGTAACCGCCACATTTTTTGGAATAAACTTGACTTCTGTCAGCACTGATCCTGACACCCTCCATATACTCCGTGATTGAAGGAGGGCTCCACCCAATGAGATAATTGCACAACAGCAAGTAAAATACCGAAAATCTTCTACCCAGTGGGCCTAAGGCCAACCCCACCCTCCTTTGGGGTTGGCCACACCCCCAACTGATTGAAAAGATTCTGGCGGGAAGATTTCTTTGCACGGGCATGCCCAGTGTTAAGGAGAGGAGGAGGGGAACGAAGATCTCCTTACTTTTGGGGTAATACAAGTAAAATACTGACCGTGGGATCACGAGTACTGCACGGCAGGATTAGGGTCACTCAACCGCCCCACGAACTCGTTTCTATCCTATCCCGTTGCTAGTGGGACCTTGCCCTGGGCCACTCTGGTAGCCGAGGTTGAAATGGAAGATTTTTGCTGTGATTTTCATTTTTTCATTACTTTCTTTGTGTTTTGGGTTTAGGGTGGTGTCTAGGGTGTGTCTACCAAAGACATCACCTTCCCAAAACACACAGAAAGAAATTAAAAAGAAATGAAAATCACAACAAAAATATCCCATTTTTAACCACAAACATTTCCGATCAACCAAAAAAAAAAAAAAGAAGAGTCCATATGCGAGTTTCTCTTTTTTGGGGGGTGGGGGGGGGGGGGGGGGGGGGGCTGGAAGGGAAAAAAAAAAAAAAAAGAACCCTTATGCTTGTGACCTCTGCTTATTTTTTGACGGGCCATTGTTCACGATTCGTTGGGCTGGTATGCTGTCCACGTCACTGAATGTTACGCACATGTAACCGTTGCTAAACAGATCAAGAGTTCGAATCCTGATGGAATTAGAATTATTAGTATTTATGACTAATTTGTTAGATGAATGCATTAATGACAGGCCCACCCCTTGTTAAAAGTAAAGTGACCAAGATTATGTCCTTCGAGTCCTACATTTTATTAAGCACCCAACATGCAGAAGTAGGGAAGGCATATGACTGTTGGCCGTTCCGTGTTGCTGAATGGTTGGTATGCCCACGAAACTGTTATGAAACAGCTCACGGGTTCAAATCCTGATGGAATCAGATGGAAAAAAAAAAGAGAGAATGAAAAGAAAGGAAAGGCTGCTGTTGTCTGTGGAACAAGGAGTGGGGGGGAACTGCTGCTCCTTAGAATTGAATATAGCCTCAACCTTTTTTTTTTTGGAAGGGGGGGGGTTGGGGGGTTGGGGGGGGAACAGGCACAAATTAAAAAGAAAGGGGAAGGCTGATCGGCGGATATCAAGACCACTATGGTTCCACTTTAGAAGACTGTGTCCTGGCTGTAGTGGTTAAGAGACTCGGCTCTTGAGGTCAAGATCGGCGGTTCGAATCTGTTCTTGCATGAAGGAGGTCTTTGGTGCAGATGTTCGGATCCATAAGCTGCTGTTTCTGACTGTGAGGAGATGCTGTTTCACTGTTCTTGCGGTGTGCTTCTATTTTAACCGTTGTTTTCTTTTTCTTTTTTGGCCTTGTTTGATGCAGAAATCGTTCTCAATTACATGAATGCGGTACGTTCCTCTTCTCTCTACTTTTCCATGCCATGGCCCGTGTCCTCTTTTCCATCCTCCCTTGTCTGTTATGAGCTTTCATCATAAATTTGATGATCCGAGGATCGACGTCTTGCTAACTGTATACGCATTACTGTCTTCAGGCAAACAGAACGAACGGCCGGTCATTATCGCTGCATCTGGACTGGAAGTTGGCCCAAATGCAGCTGTAATGATCGGGTGTTCGCCTTCGGGTAAAGACGTTACTTGTCAGATTCTGGCATCTGACCTTGTACTCCAGTTAAGAGTGACTCTCTGCCACACGCTTTCGGCGGTTTCCTTTTTGTGTGGGAGGGGTGGGTCATCTCCGGATGGTCAGTAGGTGATTTGTGCAGTGCCATTTGGGCCCCGAGATGTCTCCCTTTGAGGGCTTCCACAACAGCTGGGGGGGGAAGGGGGGGGGGGGGG